GACCGCCGCAACTGGAAAAGCCGCAGCAACCGGAGTCCCGCCCCACCCGATGACTCACGCTCCGCCCTACACCACCACAGATCTCCGTCACTAGAGGCCCAGGCCCACCAGAAGAGGTGAAGCTACGCAGAAAAAGGCAAAGCCCTAGAATAAGGTGAAGATTGAGGGGCTTACCGCCACAAATTGGAGCTCCACCGATGGCGGAAGGGAAGACCTCAATCGCAGGCCAAACGCGGACCTTGAGGGACGCTACCACCAACCGGAACCCCTTCAGCACCGAGGACCAAACCACCGATCATGAACCATCCACAGCAACATCGGAGGCGCGCTACTCAGGGGTGGGCCGAGCGGTCAAAGACGACCCCTAGTCGTGGCTTTGTCGTTGCCGAGGAAGGGAAAATCCACCAAAAGAAGGAGGGTGCGACGAGCGGAATTTGGGGATTGGGTTTTTATCGCCAGAGGCATAAGTTGTTGATTAAGTCTATGTTCATAAACTATCATATATTATATTTAAAATTGAATTGCAAAAATCCTCCACTATTGAATGTTAATATAATTAAATGATTGAAAAAAATAATTATTTTATTTTCTTATTGCATGTGAGGCATTAGTTTGAAAAAAAAAAAAATTAAATTAATATACTTTTCCTATCACTAATTTTGGTAACCAACGTGTCAAGTTTTATTTAAACAATCATTAATTATAAACCAAATTCAAATTTAAAATTTTTTGGAAACTGACCTTTATGAACAAAATCTTTCACAAAATTTGGAGTGAAATATTTATTTAAAAACATAATATATTTTCAAATAAAAATAAATTGATAGATAATTTTACCATAATACCTATCAGTTTAATAATAACACTACGATACGTCGACACCCACTGCTCGAAGACGGCAAAGGTTCAATACTTTTCGGTATTACACATGTATTGATGAACAATTCACAACTAAATTTAAAACATGTCGTATGGAATTGTGGTTTGTGAATTATGGGATTTGTATTTGGAATTATGGGATGTGAACTCTTGGACAATGTGTGTCATACTCAATCTACAATTGAATTTTTCATGTTCCAAAAATATTATTTAAAATTTCTAATAGGATGAAGTATTGATGAATGTTGAATTTTTAAAACATATAAAAATTAAAATATAACTAGGTAATTATTTAAAAATAAAAAATAATTAAGAATCTCTGGAGATTCGAACCGAACCAAACCGAGTCGTTCGGATAGTCCTGAATACACCGAAAAATAAAAATCTCCAAACCGAACCGTCCCCATTTTTTGGTACGATTCCAGAGATCGAATTTAGTGATCTCCGAATTTTTGTATGGTTATGGAGATTTGTCCATCTCCAAACCGTACCGACCCACGCTCACTCCTTGTCAATACCACAAAACATGCGCGAATGTGCCAACTTTCATGTGAGCTACTGATTTTCCTGTGAGCTACTAATATAATATATCTAGCTTAATTAGGTATTTAAGTTTATCATAAGGGCCAAAAATAAAAATGTCAATTAATCAATTTATAAGTTGTTCGTAGTAAAATATATTAAGTGATAACGACTCGTTTTTTACTGTATTTAGTTTAATCGCAGTTACCGTCACTTTTTTTTTTTCTTTAGTAAATAATAGAACACATACAAATATTCGACGATATCAGTGACTACACAGCAATCATCGGATTTTTTGATGGCTCAAATTCACCACACACGGTGATCCAATGGTAAAAATAACTGATGCAATTAAAATGAACCCCCATTCTCCAATACACGAAAATAGGGTGAAATAAACACAAGCTGGTGAAGCAATTTTTACTAGTGATGCACCATTAAATGACTGATCATCAGTAAAAGAAATACATTTTAAAAATTTTGGACCATTTAATCT